ACTGGGCTCTGTAATATGGATTTTTCCTTCTTCATGAAGTGACACAACATGCAGACCAAGCAAAACTTTTTGAGAACCCAAACTATGGTTGAAGGTTGTTTTGAGGAGTCTGTTCTGGCTGCTCTACTGTCCACGCTCTGGTGCTAAGCTGCATGAAGAAAAACCACAGTGACATGTATAGCATTTAGAGAGGCATGATATAATATTGGACGATTGACAATAAATCTCTCAAAAAGACCAAAATAAACATTTGACCGGTTAAAACCCGAGCCACACAGTTCTCCATTGTTGATAAAAAGCTACATGGAATGTATTTTATCAAGCAATGCTTCACCACAGCGTTGCTGTGTTCCATAACATGGAAAATATAGTTTACTAGGATTCTATGTAGGGATGTGCATTTTGAATACATTTAGAATAACAGATTATTGGTCAACTATTGTAAAATAAAATATACATATATATGTAAAACAATATACCAGTTCAAAATACTGAAACATGCGCTGTCATTACCGCGGATGCAGCTGCCCCTATCACTGCAACCTGAAATTATTAAAACCCCATCCATTGTGTATTGAAAGCTGAGTGCACGCTGTGCTGGGAAAGACGGCGACACAGACCAGGCTGGCTGCGTGACTTTTTTCACATCTTTTCTTCCTCACGAGGTGATAATCATGCATTTACAGAAAACAGTGGTATATTGTTCCATAAATAAACCTGGAGTGGAGTGCTCTTTTGATTGAAAGAGTCCTATATTAAAGTTAAAAAGTGACCAGCGGAGTAGGGCAGCGCGACTCACAAGCTAGGAGTCTGTGCCTCACAACTTTCCCTGCAGTCTGAGAGCTCGACTACAGTACTGTAGCTAGTAGGAGTGCAAACCCCCAAACGTGAAAAAAGACAGAACTAAAAGAATGACACAGCTGTACAGAAACTGCACGTTGTAGACATCGCTGAACACAATATAAATCGTCACACAGGAAGAGAGTTTAAACTTTTTTTCTCGCTAAGAGACCTTCAAAACAGGGAGCGTCTTATATACCAGACTTATATTCTGGATTTTATGGTATGTGACATTTTTGCTGACCTGTGCCCACCTCTGGTTGTCTCTCTATGTTGCCTTTACCAAAGTCGTAACTTGTTCTCTGTTGTACACCTCTTAATGGAATAATATGTAACAAGAGGAAAAATAAGCTCTCTATGCTATCAAGCTGAACCCAGGTCAGTTCACAAGCTTGTTCCCTCAGCTCAGTTAGTAAATGGAGAGTCAGTGTAACTGGTTTATCAGAAGACTTAAATGTACCATCGTCTGCTGTCTTACACCTGTCTGCAGACTATAGAACTGTTTCAACTCAGACAGAGCATGTCCAATGAGCAACAATTCTAATGGGAGAAAATTACTTCCAATGAAACGTTGCTACTGTACCTTCTTGTAAATCCAGGTTTGTTTGTTTTTTTAAAATGAAAGTTAATGTCCGCCTGAAAGATTATGCAACAGTGAAAACCGTCACACCAACTTTCTGCTTATTGAAAGAAAAAACTATTCATGAACGTTTGCTCCAACTCGATATGAAACTCAGGTCCAACACGGCTGACAGGAAACAAGGACCAGATAACAGATCTTCAGTGTACAGTAGTCTGAGGAGCACCACTTCCTGAAGATGCTCTTTAATTAAGTTCCCAGAAGGAGGTCGTTAGCGAGGTCGGGGTGTGCAGCATTAACTCGTCATGCGTCCTGTCCTTAAATCCCTTGTCCTTAGTTCTTTATTTCCAGCATTCTTGTGTGTGTGTGTGTGTGTGTGTGTGTGTGTGTGTGTGTGTGTGTGTGTGTGTGTGTGTGTGTGTATTGTTCTTGTGTCTCCTGCACGCTCTTTGTGCACACACTGTAGCCAAGGGGAACAAAACAGAAGACTTTGTGAAAACATAGTTCTCATGGTGACCAGGTTTCATTCTGCGTCTGGTTTCCATTAGAATCCTTTAATTGGTGGAGAATGTCACAATCAATGTTTTTGCTCTGGATGCAGAGAGACGACCTCCCGCCTCACGTTACGCCAGCCAAGCTCCATCCACTGCCATAAAACACAGACACTGGTGCACGCACACAAACACACATTCAAATAGAAAAAAGCAGGGTGCTGAATTCCTCCACTTGGGCAAGACCTGCGCACATGTGCACACACACGCACAACTTTTTTTCTGTTTAAAACACACCTGGCACATTCTGACAGGGTAATTTCCAATGAAGTGTTTATAACAGAGAAGCAGGTTTTTAACATGAGCCACATCTTGCAGCCTGCGCCTGCCAAGAGGCCCCTCAATCCAAACTGCACTTAGCCAAGTCGAACAGGAAGAGAGAGAGAGAGAGAGAGAGAGAGAGAGAGAGACGGAGAGGGATCAACAATCTTTATTAGTGCTTTACATCGACGTACCAACCCCTCCATATAATATATGAGCCTGTGTGTGATATGAGATGAAAATCCGGACAGCAGTGTATTATTTCAGGGTGTGCGAAGGTAACAGAGCAGGCCAAAACTAAAAGTAGCTCTAATTATGAACTATGTGGCAGGGGAGGAGACGTGTGTGTGTACAGGCTCAAGGTTAAAGACGCTATTACTCTGGGAGGTACAGCTGGCTGTGGTGTGGAGGTAGACGCTTCATTCATCTTTGGAGGCCGGCCCTTGATCTGCTCCACCACACAGTTAACCAGCTCAGCCAAAACCTGCAAACACTCTGCCGCTGCACAGAAACCAAGGAAACCCCGGAGTAAACACACACTGGTGGGTATAAGTGGAGTTGGTAAAAAAGCACACACCTTCTGTACTCAGGGGGAAGTAAAGATACAACTCTTGTAAAAGCACGTTTTCCTGCAGAATAAATGTTGTCACAGTATCAAAGTATGAAGAGTCCCTTTGGAGGACATTTCTACAAGCTGTTTGTGTGCAATGCTAACTGAAGCTCAACTCAACTAGAATACACTTATTTTGTAGCATTACTTATTTATAGCATTTATTTATATTTATAGCATCCCATTAATCCAGCCATCCATATATACCTAATAATTCACTTTTTTTAGTCTACATCTGTAAATTTTGTAATTACTGTACATAGCACAGACTCTTGCACTTTCTGCTTATTTGCACTTCTGGTGAGATGCCAAACCTCATTTCGTTACTCTATACTTGTATATGTGTAATGACAATAAAGTTGAATCTCATCTCATCTCATCTCATCTCATCTCATTAGAGCATATTAAACTGAGATCAGACTTACTTTAAATCAAAGTACAAAAACTATTCATTTTGAAAATATTTTTACATCAACTTTGCTCCAATCTTGAAACACAACGGCTATCGTTTGATGACAATGTATATCTGATGGCCAACTTCCAGTGAAGCCAACAGTAAGTGATAAACGACTTCGAGCCAAGACTATATTAACTGCACATTGCATTGTTTACTGTCCAATAAGCAACTTGAGAAGTGACAGTATGAAAGTATGTTTAGATAAGAAGTGAAGTTATGTCTGCAAAATAAACTGTAATTTCTTGGTTCATTACATCCTTCAGAGGAGCGTTCATCAGTTTCTGGCGAGTCTCAGTTGGACGGTAAATAGTAAGATAAAAATAAACAAATTTTCTTGTGATTTACTCACATAAACAGGTCGGAGGTTTGCTCAAATAACATCATGAAGCAGATTTGTAAAAACTAAATAGTTAAGCTTTGTCGGGTGTGTCCTCAAGAGGACAAGAAAACAACTTTTAAAATGTTTGTTGGATGAAGATCTGATCAATGATTTCTGATGCTTTTCAGGTAGTCAGGTAATCTGAACGCTGATTGGCTTTCGAGGAGGTTGAAATCTTTTACCAGATTGTTAGCTGCACTAGTGTGCAGGTATCTGTTTATAGAGACAAATAAATCTGTGGCATGTTATCGCAGATGGAAGCCGGGATGTCATTACGGTGGATTGCGATCAAACCTGCTGCAAAGCACGCGAACAGGTTATTGGTCGATACTCCTCCGACTACAAAAACATTACAAAAAGAAAGCAGAAAACTTCCAATACAAAGATCCAGCCCCCTGTGCTGCTCTGAAGTCATCGTTCATGTCGGCTGCTTCACTTTCATTCAGGTAGCTATAAGTCCATTTTTGAAATGTAACACCTGTAATGGATGATAAACCTAAAGAAATGCCAAAGAAGCATCTTAACTATGTGTTATTGTCTCATCCATTTAGGCTGAAATTAGTCTTGATATATGGGGAAGGCAGTGTGCAATGCTGCAAATATAAAATAAGAGACAACTCCCCTTTATGCATTAAAGCTAAAGTAATGACTCTTATTTTTAAATCCTGAACGTGGAATGTTCAGATATTGGTGTTAAAATGCAGGCCGTAACAGTCAAAGAAAAATACTCATGTAAAGTAGAGATGTACAAAAAACTTCAGTGGAGGACAGTTGGAAAGTATTTTCATCTTCTTTCAGTTCGATCTCTTCATATTAGTGAGATAAAACCACAAGAAGTAACTCTCATTGTCATGGAAGAGGAGCTGTAGACGTTCAAGTGAAGGGTCATTTCTGCCTCACGTTATTTTTCTCTCACACTTTTCCACAAGCTCAGACATTCCCACACTCCAATATTTGTGTAGCTGCTTGCCAAACTGACCAAAGATTGTGTGTGTGTGTGTGTGTGTGTGTGTGTGTGTGTGTTTGTGTGTGTGTGTCTGTGTGTGTGTGTGTGTGTGTTTGTGTGTGTGTGTAGATACAGGGTATGTGCGTATCAGAGAGTGTGATACAGGGATTGAAAGAGAGAGATGGGGTGTGAAAACTTTGATAAGAATCCTCCCATTAACAGCGCTGGAGGCCGACAGAGGAAATAAACAATCATGTGTTCTCACTCTCCTGCTCTGATTTCTTTTTCTCTCTCTCTCTCTCTCTCTCTGACCATGCGCATGTTTGGCACAACACAGCACACTCCTGGAAGTAATCATGAGATCACATTAACTCACCGGTGAGTTTCTGCAGTAGCGGGCTGAGCTGGCTCTCTCGGGTGATGACCAGGGTGAGCGCTCCTATCAGCTCCCTCTCCAGCTTCTCCAGCTCCTCCTCTTCCTCCTCGGCCTCCTGGTCTGCAGGCTGGGCCTCGTCAGCCAGGGAGTACAGGTAAACCAGCAGGAGGATCAGCTCATCGGGACCACATTCATCCTCCCCGGACCTCGACCCCGAGGACAAGCTGTCCTCTCCTCCTCGAGGCTTCATCAGGGGCAGCAGCTGCCTCAAGACAGCGGGGAAGTCAGAGTCTCCCAGAGCCTGTGACAAACCACAAACAACAAATATAAATGACAGGCCATTGTAAAACAGATTTGTAACCTTCTAGAGATATTCAAAGTTTGATTTCTCATAAGTTATAACACAAAATGAGCACTGATGTGAAATTCATGGCGATAAAGGGAAACTGCACAGATTATTGGTTTTCATCAGATAGCTTGAAATGTTTGGAAGTACTTTTTCCTTTTTTTAAACCCTCCAATATTCAAGCACATTATAACCTGAGGTAAACTCTGTCAGGGAAACTTTGACATTTTGGAATATCTGATGGTTTGCTCTCTTGCTTTACATAAAGTTAATCTATAATGCTGTTTGTTAAGTTCTTATAGTTATTAGGTGAACAATTAGAAGTGTCCCACCTCTTGATTATTCACAGTAATATGACCTGTTGATTATGTCATAACCCGGCTCGTGGGTCATGGCGAAAGACGGGAGGAGTCAGAAGAATCAAAAAGAAAAATGAAAGACAAAGAATCATTTATTACAAAACAAATTAAATTACTCAATAACAAGAATTTAATCAGTTGTGAACCTGTATTTGTGTGTTTAAGTATTATGCGGTGAGTGAGGTGTTTAAGAGTGCTCGAACATAAATAACTAAAGAAACAAATTTGCAAATGTTGGTGAGGCTGAGGGAGAGCCCGAGAGTAAATGAGGGAAACCAGCAGATCTTTGTAGACGAGAATGCAAAATCAGCCCAGGTGCTGATGATGAACCTCCAGTGACCACAGGAGCAAGCCAAACACTCCCAGTGCCTGGTGACAGGGCCGTCACAATAAGTCTACATTCATATTAGCTGGCTGACATAGAAAAAGTGTGAAAATTAAGAGCACTGTGTGAGTGAGCTCATCGTTCCATTAGCTAATTTCTTACAGCTCTGAGTGGTTGAGGTAATGCTTTATTTTGCTTCATTCTCTTGTTGGATTTGCATCAACTGTTTGCTCTTTTTTTTTTCTTTATCACACACACCCATTCACACACATTGACAAATATAACATTCGGGGCGATGTTTGGGTGCAGTGACCTGTTTTTTGTGAGCCTTGTCTGAGCAGTCCCTCTCCATTGTTGCTCTGTAGCTGGACATGCTGTGGATCACTGGACCGTTTACTGAACAGAACACTGGCTGCCCTCACAACAAGGGTGAGCTCATAGGTCTATAAAACAAGGGTGTGGAGCTAATCCATCCAGTGGACATGAACAGTGAATGAAAAATAAGGGCTGAAAATGAAAAACAGAGTCACAGAGTGCAAGGAGACAGTGGAAATAAAAGTTAGAGAAGATACTGCAGGAGGAACTGAGCTTCAGATGATACAATCTGTTGACAGAAGACGGCAGAGATACAAACGCTCCTGTGGATATGTTTCATTTTAATGAGGGATTCCTCCGCAAAGAGCAAACAGGCTCTGAGAACGAGAGGCTCTGGACTCTGTGGTGGGCCCACTGGGGGGGGATCCTGTGTCTGACCCAGAAGAACTGTGCAACGAGCCAAAGATGCAAAAACAATCAGAGCCCGAGCTGGAGAAGCAAAGCCACAGAGAGACTGAGTGTCCCTCGTGGAGGAGCAGCTGAGGGGACTTTTCTTGGGAAGAGTTTGGTCCACATCTGTGACTCTGTTGATGATTGAGGGTTTTCACTATCATAAATATCAAGTTTCAAAAACAGTCAGTGCAAAAGATGACGTCTGCATCACTCACATTATCCCCCCCATCCGTCCATCTCTCTCTCTCCTGCATTTTGGACAGTGCGTTCTCTCTCTCTCTCTCTCTCTCTCTCTCTCTCTCACTGCCCTGTTCACTCCAGCAGGGCCTCCTCCCTGCCTCACCTCCCGGCCAACCGCTCGCCCCTTGGGACCGTTCAAATACAATCTGAGCACATATTTTTCTCCTTAAACATTGTGAAATCAAATACCTCTCTGAGTCCCACTCATTCTGACTGCCAAACAATGTTCGGGGATCATTCCCTCGCTCGTTTTGGCTGGTGGACTTGTTGAGGAGAGAAAGGACATTGTGGGTTTTTTTGTTGAAATTCAAACTACTCAGCAGTTTCTTCTTTCATCTCTCACTTTAGAACCACTTATCACCTCTATGCGTGTCTGTACATGTGCAGGAGGATCAACCAGGAAGCGAGCCACTGACAGCAAATTACGTTTTCATTTTTGACCTGAGCAGGTTTAATCAGGCCGCCGCAACAAGTGCAATATCTTATTACAAAGATAAAGCACTGACGAGCCAAAACACAGACCATGCCCTTTCTTCTTCCACACTTTAAAGTGAGTGTACTAAATGTTAAATTAATCCAGAATGACAACAAATGTTAACCCTTTAATTTTCCAGGCTTATGTGTTTGCTTTCAGTCTGTGTGCACCACTACAGAGAAGCAGCTTACAGTACTTTATCTGTGCAATGACAATCAAGGCATCGTGATTCTGATTCAGTTTTGAGGGAGGAAAATGGCAGCTGCTCTGGTCATAAAATCAAATGTGACCTCACCAATTCTGAAACTTTTCAATTTCAAGCCAATGGGAATTGAGAGCCAGTTGGTTCAGGCTGAATATCTGCAAAATCAGCACTAGAAAGTTCCTGTGAAATTGTGGATTGTATCAAATATGGGGGATGATCTAGTGAGCAATCTTCCGGTTATTGAAAGGCAATAACTGAAAATTTCATAAGTTTATTTAGGCCACGTGTCAGATTTTAGTGTTTTTTTTCCCCAAAGAACCAGCATCTTTATTCAGCCACAAAGCGCCTCGTGTCTTTTTTCTGAGTGTTCCGCCTTCTTTGTGGGACCGCTCAAATTTAGACAATTGGAGTCTAAAATCTTGCAACTTTTCAGAAAGGCGCTGTTGCAACACCTGAGCTCCAAATATATGATATTTCCAGTTTTCTTTTGCCTCCTACAGACCGTGTCTTGTACCCACATCCTCTTTGCTCTGTGTCTGATCGGGGAAAAAACAATTTCAAATATCAATTTCAAATATCAAACATGCATGGATGAACAACGGCCAGTGTCGTTCATACAGTGGTCATAGAGACAGGATGGACGTGCAGAGCTTTTATTCTCAGTGCACAAATGCTTCAGCGCTTTTCTGCCTGGAAAAATATCAAGTCGGACACAGGCCTTACTTTATTTTTATTATGATCATCATAAGACCCCTCAGATTAGCTTAGCAACTGTTAGGGGGTAGCAAACCCCAGTTTGAATCTGTGGACTTGAAATCTTTTATTTATTACTTCTTTACTCCATAGCTGTGAGCTTTAAGTACTATTGCATGCTGACATGTTTTAGTTTGTATAACACACACTTGCACCATACTGCATGTGGAAGACTTTTATACAAACTAGTTTAAAAAATAGGACAAGTAAATATAACATTGCATCTAAAATGAATATTCTCTCCTGACCAAAAGTATCTCTGAGTGTTATAATTCCTGACATCACAAACCTCCCTTAATACCTCAAGACGTCTTGTTTGTCTGTTTAGGTTTCTGGTACTTAAGTACAAATTCTTTAATCTTTGCACCGTAATATACGACCAATAACCCAGAGTGCACGCTCTGCCCTGCCTGCATGTGTGTATGTTTTGACATGTGAGAGGAAGCATGCTCTGGAGCTGTGTCCCTTCAGAAGATCTATAAAAGCTGCTGTCAGCTGCAGGCCCCGGCGCCAGAGCAGGAAATGGAGCTCTTTGGTTCAGAACTGAGTGAAGCAGCGCTGGCACTCGAGCTCGCTGGAAAGGTACAGAGCTCAGTACACCTCTGGGAACAGAGCGGAGCAGAAAACAGCAAGATTTCCACGCCATTCAGAACAACACAATCCCTGTATTTCACAAAGATATAATGTGTCTTATTATATTTGATTTATGTGACCTTTTCAGTCGCTTACTTTGAGAAAAGGCCTCAGTGTTGAGGTAACTATTTGTGTCATCTGGAGCATGAACTGTTTAGGTTGTGAAAGTTTCTGATACTTTTTGTATCCAGGTGTTTTAAAAGAGCACATTCTCTGTTTTGTTTTTTGATGATCAATAGTACAGAAAAATACAGAAGCATTCAACAAATCTCCATTCATATATTCACCAAAAGCTGCTGCAAGTGAAACAGAGAGCAGCGTTGGTTTGTTATATTTTACAGGTCGGCAAATACTGACATTTCTCAAGTCCATCTGGTGTTAAAGTAGCATTTATGTCTCTTGGACACAGAGAGCAGAGGAGTTAAATCTGTCTGAATTGGTTTCAGTTCAGAAAACACATTTGTTCTATTTAGACTGTGTGCAGCTGTTTACTTGCAGTTTTGGGGAATTAGAAACAAGAAATGACCCAGTATTGGAGGCCTAGGATTTCTATTTTTGATGCTGTCATATCGAATCATCAATATTTTTGGATTTATAACTGGAATTGTATGGGATAACCCTACGGTACAACACAATTTAGTCTGCAGTAAGAAAATATCAGCAATGAGAAGAAGTAAAAGCAAAAGAAAAAGCAGCAACTTCAGAGGTAGTGGAGTCTTTGCATGTGCAAGAATGAATGATAAAAATGGAAAACAGTCAAAGTTGTGCTGATCTCCAGAGATCTTCAGAGAAATAATAGTGCAATAGTTCCCCGATATGAAACCAAGAATTTCAAGAGACGGCTTCAAGCCTCTACCTAAACCCTTGAAACTTCTTACATAGTCTCTCTTTTCATCCAAAACTGGAGGGCGGCCCTCCCCTGGCAGCCCTGCAGCATTCTGCCAGCTGATACGAACTGTGCAAATCTATTCTACTGGTTTCATAGACTGAAAGGTGAAAATGGGGATAATAAGGAATCTTTTAATGAAATAGTTCATATAGATACTATCATTCGACTTAAACCAGACTTACTCAGCATAACTTTTTAATCACATCATTCACTAATCTCCTTGTTAGTTTTCCACAAGACTATTTCAAAATCCATGAGGCGTTTAAGGACCTCTGCAGATTCAGGGGTCTGAACTACAGAATGACTGC